TTTCTTAGTCTTTTCAATAGAGGTCTTATGCAGCAGTTCTCCTTTTGTGATTAATTTCACTCAACATAATGTCTTCAAGTTTCATCCATGTTATGCGGTGGCTTGCAGATTCCTTGTTATTCTTCAAGGTAGCATAATATTCCATTGTTCAGTTGATGGACACTTAGGCTGTCTCCATTTTTTTTGCTATTGTTAATAGTGCTGCTATGAACATTGGTGTGCATAGATCTACTCATGTTATTGCTCATATTTCTTGTGGGTAAATACCAAATAGAGGGATTTCTGGATCATAAAGTGTTTCTATTTCCAACCTTCTGAGGAAGCACCATATTCTTATTCTTATTCTTAAGCAGTGCTGTGCTTATCCTGGATCACCCTCCTTTCCATATAAAGTTTGTAATAATTTTTTCCATCTCTTTGAAGAATGTTGTTGGAATATGAATTGGGATTGCATTATATGTGTAAATTGCTTTGGGCAGTTTTGACATTTCCACAATGTTAAGTATTCCTATCCAGGAGCATGATACATTCTTCCATTTTTGTGGGGTTTTTTTGTGTGTTTTTGTATTAGTGTTTTGTAATTTTCTTTGTATAGGTCCTTTGTCTCTCTGGTTACATTTATTCTCAGATATTTCATCCTGTGGGTGACCACTGTAAATGGTGTTGTTTTCCTAATGTCCATTTCATCACTGTCATTGTTGGTATAGAGGTATCAAACTGATTTTTGTATATTGATCTTATATCCTGCCACTTTGCTGAATCATCCAATGAGGTCAGGTAGCTATTTTACTGAGTCTTTAGGGTTTTCTATATATAGGATCATATTGTCTGCAAATACAGCGAGTTTTATTTCCTCTTTGCCAACTGGATGCCTTTAATTTCCCTGTCTTGCTGTATAGCTCTTGCTAAGACTTCCTGCACCATGTTGAATAGGAGTGGTGACAAAGGACATCCTTGTCTGGTTCCTGTTCACAGAGGAAAGGCTTTCAGTTTTTTGCAGCTGCTTTTTGTTTGGTTGATTGGTTTTGTTTCTGTTTTTTTTTTGTTGTTGTTGATGTTGTTCTGTTTTGAGTTGTTTTTGCTGTGGCCATGACTGTTTGATTATCTTTTATTGACATGAATATGAATCTAGCAAAAATGAGCAAATGATTGGTTTAAAATAATGTTTACCCAATGACTTTCTCATTCAATAAGAATGAATTAAATGCAATGACCCAAGGAGGATATGAGTTGTATTCTTAAAAGAAAAATGAGAGAACAAACAAGATGGCAGATAGAGTAGAAGGGCAGTGAAGAGTTCCATCAGCAACAACACAGAATACCAGACCAAGCAGGCTCAGGGGGTAGCCCCAGAATTCTGAACCATTTATAAAGGAATATTTAGAAAGTTAGAAGGCTTTTGCTAGTTGAATTTGTAGCAGACGCTAGAAATCCAGTGCTTTCTAATCCAACACACTCAGTTGCTCCCTGAGCAGCCATCTTGGGCAAAACCGAACTGGGGAAGGATAAGAGCAGCCACGGACACCTGACAGAGCCACGGGAATAAAGGTGTGGACATTATTTTTTCATATGTGTTTATTGGCCCCTCACTGTCTGTGCACCTTCATTCTGGTGACTAGAGGGGGTGCCTGAGCAAGAGGACAACTCACCCTCACCCCCAGAGCATTCTATTATGCATGTGCACAGATCTCCTCAAAATTTAAAGGGACAGTGTCCACTTAAAACCAAACAAAAGCACAAAACATCCACAGCTGGCCCTGAACTGTTTATTACTAAGAAACAAGCCTGAACAGCGGTTATAGAGCAGGAAATGCAGACTAAAAAGGAAACAGGGTGAAAATTATATCCTCAGTTACATCATAATGACCAACAGTGGCATCTTGAAATTTTTCAGGAAGAAGAGTAAAAAGGGAAGCCCATCTCCTGCTCACATCTACCTGGAAGTAATCAGAAAACATAAAAAAATACCAAAACACACACCCATCTAAGTTTCAATGCCAGAGCTAACCACTGAATATTCCCTAAAAAAGAAAACAGAAATAGATGATCATATCAGCACATGTCCAGAAACAAGAGAAAGTGACTGAGACAAATGAGCTGGAGGTAGACCTACATTCCATACTGGAAGGAGGGCAGGCTTTGGAAATGCCTGATAATGAATTCAGAAAAGTCATTATAAAATGTATCAAAACAATGGAGTTGAGATAAATAAGGAAGAAGTCAGGAAAGCACTACAGGAACAATCAAATAAGATAGACACAACATTGGAAACAATTCAACACTCACAGAAAGAGTTCCAAAATATTAATAATAGAATATCAGAAATGGATAATACACTGAATGGGCAAAGGAGTAGAATTGAAGAGATAGAAGCCAGAATTAGTGAGCTGGAAAATAAATCTCTCAATACCACTAAGATAGAAGAACAAACAGAAAAAAGGATTAAAAAATCTGAAGAAGGTCTAAGATTCATGTTGGACAACATGAAGAGAAATAACTTAAGAATTATAGGGATTCCAGAACAGGAAGAATCACACAAGTCTACAGAAGAGATAGTTGAAAAACTTCTGGGAGAAAATTTCTCTAACATCCTCAAAAGTGAAAAGTTAAGCATCCAAGAAGCTCAACGATCCCCAGAAATGATAGACCTTAAAAAAAACCAAGACATATCATAGTCAAGCTCTCCAAAATCAAAGATAAGGACAGAATCTTAAAGGCAGCTAGGGAAAAGAGAAGTGTAACAAACAAAGGCAGGCAAATCAGACTTAGCTCAGATTTTTCATCAGAAACCATGCAGGTAAAATGGCAAT